ATTAAAAGTTATACTTGATCTTGAGTCATGACAATAGTCATTCCTTTCCACATACTAGAAACTTCAGGAAGAAACTTCATCCACTAAGATCTCAGAGTCTTTGAAAACTTTGAAAGCTAGCTGGTCGAGCAAGCAAAAGAATGTTACTCTTGATTTTTTTAAAACGATGGATTGTTGGGAAAAAACTTGAGAGTATTTTCCTATTCATACAAAATATCTTAATGCCCTAAGAATTAAGTTATTCTATTTTTCTGCAATAACAGTGTTGAGAGCAGATTTTTTTCTCTTCATCACAATGCAGATTCCCTTTTTTCTGTTTCTCTTTTTGTATTTCTTTTTGCACAAGAGAACAGTTTCAGTCAGGGTGTAACCAAGGTGCCTTATATTGTAAGTGCTAAATAATCTCTTAGGTCTGAGGTACCTCTTGCAGCTACAACTGGTCTAGGATCAAGATGTCCTGCATCGTGCAAGGACAAAAAGACAATTAGGACAAGCAGGCAGCAAGGACACAAGAGATGCCTCTTTATGAAGTAGCATCAGGGAAAACAAAACAAAACTGTTCAATTTACTAAGTTCAATGCAAGAGAAGGATGTATTTTTGTATAAAGATTTCATACAGTATACCTCTTAAGGAATTTAAAGTAATAAAAAGTCACTGAAGAGATCACATTCAAGATTAAAATGCATGAGATATTAGTTAATGAATTGGAAGGTATTGAACTACAGGGGGGCAATGCAAGGAAGATTTTAAGGCTCACAGTGGTAACTATTAAGAAGACAGAAAGGCCAACCACAAACCAGGGAGAGCAGAGCTAAAAAAACAAAGAATGACTCTCTCCAGTGGATGTGGGATCCCACAGGTTGCATTTAGTGGCACTTTGTATCCATCTTAACATGTAAACTCATATAGATGAAAGTAATTGACCAGATAGAAAACAACAAAATTTGCCCACCCACCAAAAAAAAAATCTGTTCCAGTTTTTGCTAAAGTTATGCAAGTTATACAGTGGATGTGGGATCCTACAGGTTGGATTTAGTGGCACTTTGTATCCACCTTAACATGTAAACTCGTATAGATGAAAGTAATTGACCAGAGAGAAAACAACAAAATTTGCTCACCCACCAAAAAAAAAAATCTGTTCTAGTTTTTGCTAAAGTTATGCAAGTTATATTTGTTATATTCTGGAATAATTTATAAATCCAGAATATTTTTTCTGTTTTTACACATATGCAAATGAGAGCAGATTTGTTGCTTTAATGCAGATTCTTTACAGATAAATTCCACAATTGCAAAATAAAGATTTAACCTCTGTACCTGCTTACATCAGTCTGTGTTTCAGCATCCACCTGCTGCTTATAGCGACTTTTCCTTTTCCTCCGCGCGGGAGTGTAATACCTGTACTGTGACAGGAAGGATTTAGCATCTGATATTAAGGTGCGTGGAGTAAAAGGTTTGTGACTACTAGTAAAGAAGTCAGAGTGCCTCTCTAGGAGATCCCTGCTGTATACCTTGGATTTAGTTTCTTGACGCTGCTGGGAATGACTGATGCCGACAAAACTATCAGTGGAGCAACTACATGAAAGTCCCGAGGTTTTTCTTTGTGGACTTGATGTCCTGACACTTGAGTTTGAGTTGTTAGAAGTATTTCGAGAATATTTTCTGGAATATTTTACAGGACTGAAGCGAACCAAGTCCTGCTCGCCGGGAGGCAGCAGTACTCTAGGGCAGTAATATGCTCGCTGAGCAGAGGGGAAGAGAAGGTTGCTGTCTTCTGCTTCCAAGGAACTCTAGAAAAAAAGAAACAAAATTTAATTGTTCTGCAAGTTTTGCACTTTGCACAAGTTGGTGCTCACAGCTATTACTGTTACCAGCTCAAAGGTATTCTCTATGGAAAGATTTTCCATGTTTTGCAATGTCAAAATGGTTTCAGAGCAGCTCCAGGGGTGGCAGATTTTAACATCTATCACTGGAAGTAGGAGGAGAAAAAGAAAACAGTTTCCTTCATTATCAAAACACGAGTGCCTTGTTATAAAATATTGATGGCTCCATTGAACTAGGAGTGTCAGTCATTTTTGTCCAAAGGTTCTATAGATTTTTAAGTCAGGGAACTAATAAATCAATGCACTGAGGCAGATTATCTCACTCGGGTACGCTCTGTGTGTGCTGCCCATGCAAGTAAGGTAAAAGACATTATCCACAATCATCCCGCTCAGGGGTTCATACTAGGAAGTGTGAAATTGGTTCCTTTCTCCCAGACATCACTCACCAGCCATTCCTGCGGGATGCATATTCTGTGAGAAGCAGTGCCCTCTGATACACCTCAGGCCCACAGAACAGGGCTGCAGTGTGGTTGGGGACACAGAATAAGAAAACTCTACCTGGCTGCTCACTGTCAGCATGACCCTCTTCCCCTTCCAAGGTGGGAGATGAACACCTTTCTTTGGTAGGGCAGCACAAATACAGGAGCACACGTCTCATAACCAAATCCTGCTCCACGAGGAATTATCCTGACTGCCATGGTAAAACAAACCATCCTAATTCAGTCCAGCAGAGCCAGCCATGTTCCTATCCTCTTCTTCTGTCTCAACCCAGCAGGTACTTGGGCAGCTGTCCACACCAAAGGCAACAGGGCAAGCACGTAGCTTACTGCAGTTAAAGACGACAAAAACAGCCTGCTGAGTTTACAGACTATTGGATTTCAGGAGTTCCTGGAGAAAAGATATAGCTGCACCTGCTGCCAAACTATTCAGCAGACTAGAGTTCAAAAATATACTTCAGTTCGCACAAGAAAATCCATATTCAATAACAGTATTAATTCCAAGGAAACAGTTAAAAGGCCACTAGCTAAACAACAGCCCAACAGAGACAACAGTAGAAGGTAGCAGTGTTACTGCAGTAAAGTGTAGGCAGTGGAGGGTTCAGACTAGAATTGTAGTTACCTAGCCCACCCCTTACCAAAAAGTGAAAGAAGTAAAATCTCAGTCTATTTTATAGTCTATTTTAAGTCCAGGTATAAAACTCAAAAACGCCAAAATGCAGCTTCCTGTACCAGTGTGTGATGTGTTTGGCACTGTCCCTAGGGATCAACACTGTCCTAGCCACCCTTGCTGACGTGGTAGCAAAATCAAAACAAAATGGGAAGCCTTGCAGCAAAAGCTCACGTACACATACTTTTAAAAGTCTTGAGTAAGATAAAATTTAGTATAATGAACCAGTCTTGAGAGGGGTTTCTAAGGAGAAAGCCACATGTACCAGTGAGCAGTGATGACCAAGACCATAAGTCTGCCCTCTGCAAGGCCAGGAGTAATTCACCAACAAGCTCAGTTTTAGCAAGTCTGCGTCTCATAAGGAAGGTTGCATTGATACCAGATATAAAAACAGTTGATAGCCTAAAAATTTGAAAACTAATTCCATCACCAAAAAGAATAACTGCTTTGGAAGGACCAGGCTTGTTTGTTTCTGCTTTCATTTAAAAAAATCTTGATGATAAAAAAATTTAGTATTATTCCTGAGCTGCATCATTGTGTCAATGTGCAAAGACAAGTAAGACAGCAACAGTGTTAAATCTAAGGTACATAACTACATGGTCATAAGGTACAAATGACATAAGGTAGTTTTTTTTTTTTTTCATAAAATGAGAAAGAGTAGATCAATAGAAAGAAATTTTATAGATAACTTACAAAATTTGCAAATTCAAAGCATAAATACTTGGACAGTCAATGTGTGCTGGTTAATGTGATTACCTTGCACCTGTGAATAATTTAGAAACATCACGTTAATTGTTGTATATTCTTTTTGTTACCTTGCGCCTGTGAATAATTTAGAAACATCTTATCACGTTAATTGTTGTATATTCTTTTTCTACATCCCTTGAGACAAATTGTTCTTAGCACATCACCGGTTACTGACAATTCTATTCATCAGTGAGAGGAGCATATGACATTTTGTGATGTTCAGGGACAGACATACTGCAGAGTCAGAAAGTGAAACCAGAAGTCTCATAGCAACAAAAGTTTGTATAAGCTAACATATTTTATCCTTATATATAACTATTTAATGCAATACAAGTTCTGCTACATACAACTATATGATGGAGAAGAGATGCCTCGTGCTGTCTGCACCCAAGCTGCTTAGCAGAGTGACGCCAGGAGCCAGAGTCTGCCCCGAGGTCCTGGAAGAGCGAGGGACAGAAGCTGTGACATTCTGCAGCATCTCACTGGGCACTGCCATCAGCATCCAATTTCTAAAACCAGTTAAGGTCCAGATTAAGAAAAAAAAAGCCTTAAAGTTTAGGTTCAGATAACAGAAATTAACTTGATACACTTCCACCATCTGAACGAAGATCAGGAAGATAAGGTGGGACTTATGTAGGGCATATGACATGCATAAAGCTCTGACATGATAAAAAAAGGAGAAAAATAAACATCTTTACATAGCAGAATGTGTTCTAGTCATCTCTGCATTATGCTTCTATTAAACAAAGAAAAACTATTAAGCTGTAGTGTTACATTACTGAAGTAATTGCAAGATGAGCTCCTCTATGGAAAGCTACTTAAACATATGCTGGGATGTGCATTTATTTTCAACATAGCACATTAACTGCCAATTGTAAAGATTCACCACGCTGGTCTTTGAGCTAATTCACGTGAAAACCATTTTATGAGAGGCAGTCATACAAGAATGGATTCAGTGCTGCTCTTTTCTGCCTTGATGCAAGAGAAACCTGGAGAAACCCTCACTGTTCAAAGGCAATCAGAAAATTAGGATGTGGATTAAGGGATGGACGGGTGATTTTCCCCACCAGTGAAGTGTGAAAAGGGACTGACTACCTGCAAAAAGAGCAAAAGAAAGCACTCGTGGGAAATTTTCAAGATAATTCATAGTGTTTGTGAGGCTTTTGAAGTCTCCTGTTGCAGAGACTAGAAAAGGCCAAACTTTACCTAAATATCTAAACATATTTTTATTTCCTGCATATATAAATTTGCATATAAGCTGTTTATATATATACACATACACACACACATATATATGTAGCATACCTAGTAAATATATGTAGGTTTTCTGCTCTACAGTTCAATTTTTTTAAAAGGGTGTTTCCAAAAGCAATGACTTTTGCTATACGTAATACATTTTGTCATAAACCTGCTGCATTTATTGCTTGAAACTACACTATTCCATTTTTCCCTTTCAGAACTGCTTGATATTTTACAAGAAAACTCAAGACGATGAATAAACATTTTGCGCCACGCTATAAATAGAATATTTAATATATCAACTAGTTTTCCATGAAAATTAAATCATAGAACCTACTGCTGCCATGAGTATTTCCTTCATGTTCCCACACAATTTCCTCCCCCATCTATGCTATAACAGTGCACAAAAATACGCATACGTGCTGACACCTAATGCAAAGAGCTAATTATTTTTAGCTAGCTGAGCTGAAATAAGCTGCTCTTGATGGTGTCTCATGTGAACCAACTTAATTTTACTACTACAGCATAATTAAGTGCTGAACCAATAACTTGCAGCAACAATGCCAGACAAACGCCCGTGTTAGCAAGCTGTATAATGAGGTTTATTAGTGTAATTGTTTGCATATAAAATAGTTGCAATGGTAGCTCAGCACTATGGAAAAGAGATAAGACTGGAAAGTTTCAGAATTCACCTATATCGATCTTTTGAAAAGCAAATTCTATACCCCTTAGTTTGCATTTATAAACAGCTCTGTTTTAGTAGTATGTACTTTTTTTTGCCTTTTTTTTCAGTTATTAATTTGAATGATTTCTGGTTCCTACCACAAACACGAGTGGACAATCGGGCTGATTTTCTTCTCACTTGATCTTAAGAAATCATAAAGTCTCAGAAAAAAGAGGCTGAAAAGAACATCAAGCAGCTCTCTGCAGTCCAAAGGCAATGACAACTATATCAGCTGACTTTTGAAATTGATTAATATTTTAACAACTTATTTAGCAGTCAGAAATACCTATTAATAGGATTACCAGAACAAACAATATGAAATACAGTCTTGTTCAAATCAGAGACTTCACTCAGAGAGCCCAATCCAGGGTTTCACTTCAAGAGATCGGTCACACTAATCGTCTGCAATTTGACTCGTTGAATCACTGAGCTGAATGTCTAAAAATCCAATTAATCTTTGCACAGATTTTACGCGAGTACGGCTTTCCTTTCCTGCCAGCTGCATTTCCCCATGGGAAGACTACTGCTAGTGGCATTTTATGGACAGGTCTTAGACTCTGCCTTTTACACCGCAACAGAACCACATCAATAACTCACTAAAGAATTCACTACTAACACTTCATCTGGTGCACAGATAAATATCTGACACCTACAAACATGTTGTTCATTCGTCCTTCAGGTTTTAGTCTAAATAAGGCACTAAATAGTGCTTTTAAATATATATTTATATATTTAGGTATTCACAAACACACATAAACATAATGTGAGCCACCTTTTTAGCATCGTTGTCTGTAGTTTATCATGCTGTTTCGATCAGCTTTCACACATGGTGTCAACCATCATTATTATGTTATACAGAAAAATGAGAGTAGGAGAGAAGCAAAGCTATTCCTAATACATCTTTATGCTCTCCCTGACCTTTTGCTTGGCTGTGAGAAAAACTGTTATGTCCTTGCAGTTATTTATTTGCAAAGGATCCCATCAAAATACTGCATCAGGTGTAGTTGGTGCTCCGCTCCGCTAAATGAAGGGAAATGCATCGTGCACCAGCTCTCGTGGCTGAACCCACAGCTCTAGTTGGAACACTTACATATCACAGTGATATAAATCCTCTTTAAGATATAGTGATTATAGTCCCAAAATCTAGGTAAGCACAGCAGAAATAAGTTCATTATGTACTAGATTCTCACATTACAGTAACTTCCATTTATAACCGGATATTACCTAAATTTATTGTTCAGGTACAATTAAAACTTTCTGCAAAATGGCCAAAGAACAGGCCAGTCAGGTACAAAAATCATCACAAGTAATCAGTCTCCTAGTTAGCTCAGTATATAACACATTAACTAGATGACAGAAGTTAAAAGATATGTAACACGCATTACATATTTTAGAGGAAATATTTTAGTCCTTTTTCCTCTTACCATGCACAAAGCACAGCCTCAAAAGAAAGCACTTTCTGTGCTCTACTGAAGCATTAAATAATAACGAATGCAACTCTGAAAAATGAAGAATGAGGAAATAAAGGCAGAGTAAACAAGGACATAAGACTTATCAGAATGCATAAAAAACTGAATGCTAACAAATGAAGCTTTTTGGAAATACAATGTCAGATGCATAAGTCAAAGCTAGTTAGCACACATATAGCCTAGAAATCCCTCGGGTATTGACCTTGCTAGTGTCAAGGGTTATTGACCCTATACACTTACTGCTGTACACAGTAATGCTGTATTACAAGGGTTATTACCTATACAGTTACCTCTTAGTTTAATAAGCATTTTACAAGAGCCTCACTTTACTAGGCAAGAAATCATGCATTGTGAAAGTCATGACTTTGGCTTTTGTATTTTCATGCTTTAATGTAATGGTGGCAAAGTCAGGAAAACTCTACTTGTGTTTTATTCTTGCATTGCTGCTATAATGATATAAAATGCTTATTAAGTAGAGAATCACATCCTGCAAGATGCAAGACCTCCTTGGAGGTCTGGAGTGCTCCAAGACTAATTGCATCGGATTTCTTCTGAGTCTCATTCCATCCCAGGAACCTCCTAATTCAAGAATACCAGATCCTTAAATCCTTAAACAAAGGATGTATAATCTTTTTTTTTTTTTTCCCCTAATGACAACGATGTTACCAATAATGTGATTGCTTGCTGTGGTAAAAATTCTCTATGTTACCATAGACCTTAATAGGCAGCTTTAGAATTTGTTGTTGTGTCACCAATGAACATACTCTGATGACTAAAGACCTGAATTTAGAATGGCTAAATACCTTTAACAATACATTCAAAGACACCTGATCAATGAAGTAGAGTTATACTAGAAAGAAGCAGAGGAAGTAGAATTATACTAGTTATGCTCTACTACACTAGAGTTATACTAGTTATGCTATAGCAGAGCATATGAAGTCGGAACTCTTTTTTTTGGAAAATGAAGTGGGGAGCTCCCGGAGACCCCTCACACAACCGTTTGCACACGAGCTGTTTGCATGTGTCAAAAACAGCTCCACCTGAACAAGAGCTCAGCGGTGGGACACGATCTACTCTTGACAAAACAGGAATCACAAGGCTAGAAGAAACTTATAGCCAGTGTTTATCTTCTTGAATATAGAAATAAAGAAAAAAAATCCAGTGTTTGCCTCCTGAAAGAAGGTGATCTGTGTTACGTTCCCTGTGAGGGAGGTTCTTAGATTTACAGCAGCATCTTGTATCAAAATCACCTACTTCACTAACATTTAAATACAGTAGCAGTTTTTGCTGGTTAATACAGTACCATCTTTTTGCTTAATCTTTTCAAACTCCTTGAAAAATATGTTTAAACTCTCCAGAGTTCCTTTTAAATACATAATAGTTTACCTAAGGAAAAAAATAAGTAGGAAAATGCTACACTAAGATATCTACTATTTTAAACAAAATTAAAATATCTACCTTTCCCAAAGAAGAAGACAGCATCCTTCCGCTCTCTCTTGAGCTGGATCGTGAGGCATTTTTACCCTCACTCATCTCCTTTTCACACCTGGCTATCTTCTTTTTCAGTTTCTCTCTTCTTTGCTGGTCTGCAACTTAGGAAAGAGACAAATAAAGTTTGCCAGGTTCAAATGATTTTTTTTGGTCATAAACAATTTTAAAATGTTATAGGGGTTTCCTGACACTCAGCAAAGTCACACCATTGTAATAGGTTCCACTTCAAACATTCAGCAATTATGAAAAATTACCTCTATTTAAAAAAAAAGGTAAAAATAAGATTATGCTGATAGCTGAAGCTAGACAATATTTTACAGCCTCTACAATTCTACCCAGAAAAGCTGGGATTTCTACTAGAAAATCTAGTATTGTTTACAGAGTACCCTGCCTTATAAGTTTGCACTCATCCTGTACTCTCATCTGACTATTCAGCAAAACACAAAATGTGAAATGTCCATAAATTTGTTGCATACAAAATTCATGCTCAAACCATGGAAGAGCAGATAGCGCTTCCGATGTACAGAAATCCACTGCAAAGCAATAGGTTCATGCCACAGACCTAAACAAGGACAGCAGACACTGCAAAAGGGCCACTGCCAGATCAGGAGGGAAAAAAAGCTTGTTAGTTTATACTGGTAAGATCCTGGTCCAAGATCTTGTTCATAAGATCTGTAACACAGAAGAGGAGTTGCGTGACTGCACTGTCAGGTACCTCAGAGAAGAGCCCAAAAGAAAGACAAGGTAAATTTTCTGAGTTTGCTCTTCATCACCTACATCTATTACAAAATTTCTGCATATTGTGAGCACATATATGTGACCAACGATAACACCTGCAAAGCTCAATAATCCATCAGAAACATTAATAATTTAATTTCCAGAAGTCCTACGTAGTAGAGCGCATTTTGAAGTCTGCATGGACAATGAAACCTGCTTTACCCTTGCCTAGACATCCCATTCATTTACATGGAGCCAAGTTCATGTGCTACTGTGCAGTTTTGTTTGGTACAGACATAGGAGTTCATGTGACACACACACAAGCAGGCAGAACACCTTCCCCGACTCCTCCACGGTTATGCATAATGTATTCAGCTTGCACTCTGGTAGACCCCTGTCTTCATGCACATTACTGCAATTAATGTATGGAAACGTAAATAACTGTGGGTTGGTGGGGTACATTTCTCTAGAAAGCTGGGAACCCCAGCAATCTGAGGCTCAAGGGAATTTTACATCAGTCTTTAAAATCTACTTCTCTGTGTACATTAATTCTACAGATATGTTCATCTCTGAATTATTTAATGTGTGTTCATTTTATCAAACACTTTAGATCCCTTTTAAACTAGAAATGATTCTTTCAGATGCAAAATCCTTGTTCTCATTCCTCAGGGAAATCCCTCTTTCTCTTTCTTTCAGTTCTTACCATTGACATGTAAAATATGAAGTAATTGCTTTTCAGTTGCTGATTTCTTCAGCACACTCCATTAGAGTACTTGCAACATGAAGTTGCTTTTATTACCGAAAGTCATTACCTAAAGCTATGATAAACTAAATACTACAAAACTGAAATAAATATATGTTTTGAAGGAAACAAATATACTGTACCTTTAAATTCATTAAAGCTCAGTATTTGTCTTACTACTCAAAATTATTGCTATGATGCTATTCTAAATTACCATTATTTCTAATTGCATTTGTCCTCAAAGTTACAACACACTCAGAATCATCTAAATGTCAGAAGTTTCATATGTTTGAAATAAATAAATAGACTCGGCCAACAGAATGTTTGCATGTCTGTAAAAACTGCCTTTCTACTGTTTGGGTAAATGGCTGAAATGAGTGTTGAATTAATATCTAGAGAGACATAGTGACTGAATGACAAAGCTCTACAATGCAAGTTATAAGGAAGCAAGAACATCTCATTTTGCAACTGCGAGTAGATGCCTAAAACACATTTCCCTGCACTCAAGAGGAAAGTGGATTCACTTAAGACAACAAAAGCTAAAATGTGTCATTGCATGTTCTGCCCACACAACACAGCTTAAGAGAGTTTCTGGACAACTGTGAAGCAGTGTAAATGTTAGTGCAAAACTCAGTTCTTCTGCTGTTCCAATTCTGCTGTGTGCTTTTCAGCACTTCACAGTGGGGTTTTTCATGTCTTGATGATAGAGGATTAAGACTGAGATTTAACACACTTGCCCAGACCTTGTCTTTACTACTGGAGTTCAAAGCTGGACAAGCTAACTCCTATGGATCTCCAGGACTACTTGTTATCATTATTATTCTCAGTCCAAGCATGGTTTGTGCCTATGTGTTCTGAAAGAAAGAGCAGGAACCGTGCCCGGACATACCTTTGGCTGTCGGAATGACACGAGGGACACAGTCGCGTACACGGGAAACTTAAAGCCTTTGCCCCACAGCAAACACACACTGAGCTCAACTCAGCTAACTCAGGGCCTGCCCCAAGGCCATAATGTCCTGTATGATGATCACAGGGCACAGCAGGTATATGCAAAGCCCAGTGGCACCATTTTCAGTCTAGATCTGCTATAACAGCCGGGAACCGCAAAACCGGCAAATCCAGAATCAAGGTAAAGTGACAACTAGCCCAGAGGCAGTGAGCAAGCAACATGGACAAGGGCAGAAGCACATACCCTTTCCCCAGACAGGAACTGCAGAATCCAAACTTTTAGTTTAGCTTTAGCTAGACAGAAAATGGTATCGTACAAATACCTTTTGAGGCACTGAAGCCTTTGAGGTACAAGTAAAATTACAGCTGCTATCTGCTCGGATAACACCGCTAAACAGAATCACGTGTGCTGCAGCTGTGAATATATTAAACACAGAGAATGAGACTGGCATTCAGGGACAAACACGCAGTACTAAAAGGGAGAAAATATATCTGTTAATTGGGTAAGGTTTCTCACCGTCCTACATGTCTTCTGCTTCAAATCAGTCACGAGAACACTGTCTTTGGTTTCCAGTGAGATTAAATAAACTATGTATTTGATACAGTTAGCATACTGTCATGAATGAGGACAAAGTAAATATCAACTGAGTTCATTACAAGGTACTTAATAATTTCACTGCAAACAGCTTTAATCATATTTTGCCTCCAGAAACCTATCATACTTATAAAGTCAAATATGGGAAAAAATCAAGACAATGTATGTATTTTGTTGCAGATATATGAAAAAAATAAAAATAAATTTTATCATCTCTTCTAAAAGGAAAATATTTAGGAATATAACATATATTTAATGAACCAAATTACATGAATCTCTTAGCTGTAAATAGACACTTAATAGACACTTAATGTATCTCATTAACTGATATGTTGAAAACCATCATGAGGATTTACAGTATAGAAAAGAGATAATATTTTAGATTATAAACAAAGTACTGATTTTTGCATTCACATAAATTCACAGTCTATGAAACTGTAACTTATTCCACCCACTCCAGAAATCTGTTCTGCTAATTCTGCTGGCAATGAGGGGAAGTATAGGAAAAGGAAAATTAATTTTAGAAGTTAGAGCTACCTATTGCTGAATCAATCTAATATAGAAATAACACTTTTGTCTAAGCAAACACTCTTTTCACAAAGTTTAGAGCACACTTAAAAGCACAGATCATACTTTTCTAACATATTTCTCTGTTAGAGTACTCCCTCTATAGGCTTGATTCTTTTCGCTGTAAGCCCAGGCTGCAGCAACATTTCCAGACAAGCACTTAGAATTATAAAATTAATGCCATAAAACCTAGAAGAAAGAACAAAAGTCAAACATATCACACTCCTAGGTAGTCTGAAAACCCTGTGCACACAAAGACATGATCTGAAATATTGTCCTTTGCTTTGTATTTCGAATTGCTACATTAACATTTGTCACATCATGCCATGGGTGGCAGAGTTAACCTTCAAGTTATTTTTTATTTTTGATGTCAATAAGTTATGCCAGACAACAAAATATTAATTAGATTGAAATTGAGTTTAGTTTACAGAAGAGCAAATCTCAAAAGAATTGTCCAAACCTGACCATTTCTCTGGTGTGTTTTTACATTCAATAGAGATTCCTCCAGCCTTGTTTGGATCAAGCAGAATGTTACTCAGAAAAGGAGTGTTTATATCAGCAGATCTATTTAAGAAACATGATACTACTTGGCCAAGCTACTAATAGCAGATTCTTGCCATTGCTAAAGGTTGGAAATGAAGCCTAAGAGCGAGACAGGAATCCTTCAGAGGAATTCCCAAAGAGAAGCACAGGATTATCCCAAATTTATCCACCTCTGAGTCACACGGAGACTTCCCATGCCCTCTTGTAGATGCTTCTAGAGGAACACAGAGGTGTGCGTGCGAGCGAAGCCGTGCTGCACCAGCACCCAAGAAACCTTCCGAGCTGCCCAGGTAAACCTCAATTTCCAGAGAGGGTCAGGCGGGCTCCCAGGTGGGTTAGGACAGTGGGTTTTGTCCAAGGGCGCTGCTGGACACCCCATGGGCAGTTTAGACAAACTATACCAAGCTGATGCTGCGGCTAAGTGGAAGACAGGTAATTTTATTCTAGTTCCATGCATGCCAGGGGTATTTTGTAGTCTTCAGCAAAAGTAGAAAAAGGCACAACAACAAGAAAAAACAAACATTGGGCACATGTTAAAGCTGGATAAATTCAATTAGAAATGAGAGACTCTACAAAAACTCCATGAAAAGTTTATTTATAGATCTACTGAGCATGTTTCTTAAAATTAATTACCGCCCAATAAAATGAAAGAAACCCTTGTAATAAAAAAATCCAGATTACTTCAGTTAAAATTGCAGATTGACAAAAATGTTTACACATTGCGTTTTCCTACTCTCCAGGGATTCAGACTTGGTAAATATTCTCGAATACTTTTCCAAAGACATATCTGAGCTCTGAAAGCCTAAGCATTAGAATTATCTGTTTCCTGTCAAAGGACTTAATTTAGTTGCTTATAGTTTTCACTTTTAAAAGTGCATGTGTACAAACGAGACCCAAGAGAAAAGTTGGAAAGGATCTGAAGCAGGGAGAAAAAAAAAGATTCATGTGAAACAGCAACAACAAAATATTTAAGCCTGCTTTTCATAGAGCTATCTTTTTCACAGCATAAATTATGGACACCAATAGTGCAAAATATGTTTGCGCTCACCTGGAAAATTCAAATGTAAATACAATACAGAATTATATAGCAATAACCATTTCTTCATTATCTTACTTGAATCTAATCCCTAGCCTCCCAAAAACTTAAAAAAAAACCCAATTTACTGACTATACTGAAGCCTTTTCTCCTACTTCCCCATTAAAGTTTCATCAGTGCTAAAATAGATTTTTAGTGGGTATCTTCTCAGTGTACCTTTTTTTTTTTTTTTTTTGGGTATCAGAGACCTGCATTCCCAAATGCTCTGATCACTGGGCTGAGCCTGTACTATCAATACGCTCTGTGGAAAAACCACTAAAGATATAGGTTGAAAAGTTAGCACTGTTAGAAACCAGGCATGTGTAGGAGCAGCTGTCTCACTTGGCATGGCTTTTGTCAAGTTTTCTGGCACTAATGCCACAACTGCAGGCTTCTAATGGCCACTGGTATCAATCAACATGCTTGGACTAATTCTGAACATAGAAGTTTCTCATTTCAAGAAGTTTCACATTTTAACAACTATTTTAAGTCAATAGAACTGATCTAATACACGAGAACATGTTCGCTGCTAGCCCAGCAGCTCATGGCAGCTTGCCTGCTTTTGCTGACATCTAAGATAACGGGGAAAGAACAGTGGAAACTAAATCCACTTTAAGGACAGACCACATTTAGATGCCCAGGGAGAATGCCAACTACAGTATCATGTTTAATTCTTAAACACTAATGACTGATTCATGGCAACAACCCAAAGGGAAATACTCACCTGCTATTTTAGCAACACACAAGGACATTTTTAGAGGAAGTTTCTCAACACTGCCTGCAGGAATTCCCATTTTGCAACTCTATGCTCTTGATAAATCTTAGCATTTCAAACTGAAAATGTACCCACCCTTCCTAAATCTGTTTTTTTTTTTTTTTTTTTTTTTTTTGCAATAGAGAGAGGAGAAGGAAACCCTAATGGAATACAGTAAGACAAGGAATAGAAAAAGACAAAAGTAACAACAAGCTTCTGTTGAAGCAATGACAGGCACAGAACTACCAGGCGAATAAGGCTGTAACCTCCCCAGAAGCACTGAGTGGATCTCAGTCACACTGCGGACATTCAGTCATACTGATATTGCATCTGTTTCTGGATAAATTACATGCCCTAACCCTAGCAAGAAAAAAGCAAGTAATTGGATTGAAAACACTCTAAAAATCCTTTTTCTTGCTTTGTTTTCAGTACATTTTGAATATTCTCACTGACTGAGCTATTTGCTGTCACTTCTATATAATCTTTTATAAGAGAGAGAAGAAAAAACATTATAGAGTTGATCAAAGACACTACAAATGATACCTAGCACTGAGCTTTACATCTGAACATTTATATTTGACAGAATTGCTATTACACTACCGAAATCTATTGTTATATAACTATAAAGAATTATAGATACAAATAACTATAGGGAAAAAAAAACATGTTTCAGATAAGAAATCAGTCTAAATAATTTTCAGATTCTTTCTGAAAACCTGCAAGTTGTTAGTTAGTACTATAAAGAGATCTTAGATGACAAAACATATCAAGAAAGCATATCGGAAAAAATATATGTAAATCTTCAGTATGAAAAAGAAAGGATATTCTAAAGTAAATGCTAAAGGCATATAGCAAAATCCTGGACCTACTGCAATTCAGACACTTTTGCTATTAATCTTCCTGGACTCACAATTTCAGGTATGGTATCTAAAACCCTTATGCGTCACAGTCCCAAATTTGCCTTTTAAAACTTTATTACCATACTTTCGGGTGAATTCACTCCTAGTCCTGGCAGTGTTCAGATTGGACATCAGGAAAGATCTTTTTGCTAGCCAGATGCTGTGGCTCTGCAACAGGTCTTTCAGGTTGCAGAATCTCCATCCCTGGAGTTTTTCAAACCTTGAGTGACCTCATCTAATGTTGGCAAATGTCCTATCTCAAACAAGGGGCTCTAGGAGTAAATGACCTCAAAAGGTCCCCTGTAACCAGCACTTCCCTGATTCCATGGAAGAAGGGCAGAGGTTGAGCTTCTGAAATGTTAGGACAAATGACAGTGTGTACTCACCGCGTTGTTTAAGAGCAATTGGTAGATAAGAATCTCTATCTGGTAGAAAGCTCCTCTTCTGAAACGCTAATAGAGCCAGCAAGCAATCTGTAACTTCTAGCATTGTGTCTGGCAAGTGCAGAGTCCTAAACTCCAGTGAAATCAGAGATATTCTCTCCCTCTCTCTCAAAAAAAAAGGGGGGGACTGTATCTCCTACGGCAAGAATAAAAAATAGCTGTAGCATTTTATGCAGACAGTGTTGGGAACGTGGCGAGCAACTTCCAATGTGGCAAAATATAAAAACAATATGGATGAATATTTGAATAAAAATATATTGCTTACATAAGTTTGTTTTTTTTCCTGTTTTTCACTCAGCCTTTCACTAGAGAACATGAAGAGCTTCACAAAACAATACCTGAAAACTGGGGCAGAGACATAACACTACCTTAAAAATGGACTTTTAGGGAAATACACAACACTGTTTATTGCTTTTATTAAACAGATTTTTAAAAATGGCAAATTCATTGTCAACTTATAATTGTGTTTATTTCTCTCAGTGAGAAATATCAAACAAATACAACACATATTAGAACTAAGCTAAAATACAGATAAAAAGGTCTGATAACATTGACTATTCAGCCTTGGGAGACTGAGAAATAACTGCAACATTTGTTCAAAATTAATCCTGCCCTACTAACTAGGTTCCCAGTCCTTGAACCATGATGCTCAGCTCCACTTTATGATCAGGCCCTATTTTGTGAGTACGATAAAATTCAATTAAGTATTATTTAGGCTCAAACAGCAACAAATATTCGCAATACTGAGGGATTTTTATTTCTAATTAAAGGCTTTATTTTCTTCTTGCAGCTTTAAGTTATTGCCATTGCACACCGCCTTCTTCCAGGGCTGTGGTGGTTATATGCATATTCTAATAAAATAAAACACAGTATCAGCTTTTTCCATTCCAGTTTGAAAACAGGTGAAAGAGCAATGCAGCGAGGATTTACCGTACCAATTTTATCGAACAGATGGGCAAAAACAAAAGCAGTAACAAAGGTGAAATGTTTCCATCAACACCCTGTATAGGAGATTAATGTTCCCTCTGTGACCAGGACAGAGTTCCACAGTCAGACACTGCTTTGAGTAAGATGATTTGAAAGAGAAAAATATTGAACTAAGGCTTGCTATCTGCAGTGGAAATTTCCTCAGCACAGAGCCCACCTGCCAGCGTCATGACAATTATCTGCTAAGGTGAAGGTACTGTCGCTGCCTCCCAGAACCACCCTACTATCCAGAGAAGCTCATTTTGGGGGGAAGCACACAAGCTCTCAGCTTAGCAGCATTTTATCAGGGAAGACAGAAGACTAAGACAAATGGGTATTTACCTGGGTTGAGAAAGACCAAGATATGAAAAGGCATGCAAGAATCATTTTTAAGTAGGGAAGCTAGGAAAGTCTATCAGATGCAGAAAGAAAAACTGTAAGAGGTTTTTTTTTTTATTAGGCAAACATTTAGGTGTAAATTTCCTTCATGCACTAACCCTGTGTTTCCCTGCTTCTTTCAAAGGAAGCTTTGGTAGAATCAGAGCATGGAAAGGAAGAATTTTTCAAATGACTCTGCAGAGCAGGAGATCTGCTATTCCTATCGCAGCCTAGACATCCTTGCAGCACTGCTCCAGCCTGTGCTGTGCCTTTTGAAGAGAGGCCTACCCAGAGAGGTACCTTTTGTGAACGTGGTGCAGCTTGCTGCCTAATTCCCTCTCAAGTCACTAAGACCCAGAAATACCAAAAAAAAAAAAAAAAAAAAAAAAAAATCAAGACATTCTGCTAAAAGGATGAGTGACTCCCTGCAACAGCTCTAGTTATTCATGTCGTTCTACACGGCAGTATCACTCTGGCTTGCTTTGCTTTGAGATTAACCATAAAGTATACTCTACTCAGAAGAAAAAAAAAATCTTCTCATCCTAAATGATTTTTTCCAGAATCTCAGCACTGGCAACTAATTATAAATGTAGAAAGGGATTCAGAGAAAAAAGACGTCTGATAACAGAGATATTTTTGTTATTTTAATAAACAGCTGCTCAGCTGCTATTTATCCCCATTGACTAATATACTTCATTTAGTATTCTGTTAGTCTGTGGTTTGTAAGTATTGCTTTCTAGCTAACGCCATGAAGAAAGCTACAGTACTGATTCTTTTACACAATAGTAAGTAATGAGGAAACTTTCAGAAACAGCAACTGCAGTTTAATCCAGGCTGTATAGCTGTGTGCTTGTGATGAGCTACATTTTCCATGAAATGAAACAAAAAGTTTCGGACCAGGTCCCCAGGTGCCAAGTTATCACAATTTCTCTTGACCATACACTATTAAACTCTCTTCTTGAAAGTTCAGTCGCATGATATGTCGTGACAAAGGACAGAAAAAATGCTGAAATTATCCTCTTCTGTTCCATTAAATAAGTGAATGAAAAGGATCCTAAGCAAAGTCAACTGCAAACCTAAGCACAATTAATCAATCACTGACAGACTAGGAACATCTCATACATTCACTGACATTCTTTCTAATAAGCGTAGCAGGATTTAAAAAAAGCTGAAGAAACAAGCAGATGCACATATGCCTGACTAAGAATCATATTCTGCCGTTGCTCTTCTAATTTCTCTTGCTCTTTTGTTTCTAGCTAGTTTTACAGAAGCTTTTTCAGAATTGACATATCACGAATACTTACATTTGATGCTGGTCAACCTACTTCTGGGTGCTGAACAATCTACAGCTGCTGAAAATATGAAGAAGAATAAATGTGAGTGATTCAAAGTTGATATATTTAAAAACATTTGTGATGATTAGAACAAAACAAAAATAAACTAACACTGAACAAAGAACAATTTAATTAGAACTCATTTTATATGTTAAAATATGTTATGTACAATGCAGTTAAAGCATTAGATATTAATATACTCAGATAACTTCAGAGGTAATGACAGATATCAAGGAAAATACAATAAGAAATATTTGAAGGAATAATTGCTACTTAAATGAAACTTCCCTATAAAAAAAATCCATCAATTTTTATCTTTGAGAAATATAATTTGACTGCTGAATGCATTTAGCTGCATACCTAAAGATACAGAGGATGTTATCTGTTCAAAGCAAAGACTTTGGCAGAATCAAAAGCCCCAGTGCACCAAAGGAAGGTAGAATACAGAGAATCAGCACAAATCTCCAAAACTTCTTCTTCAACTAGAAATGGACCATAAATTTTGTGGGAGGCCTTAAAAACCATTTATTTCAAATCCTGCAAACTTAATTCAAATGCTTGTGATACCTTGTAAAGCCCTAGTATTAATTAATTAATATTTCTAGGACTAAAGCTTTCAAGAGCAGTTTATGCCATGAAGAATGAAATTAGGCTGTAAATTGTTAAATAAACAACACTAAAAAATTTCTACGGACTTCTCATAGTATAGTGCATGATATTAACCTTCTAAACACAGTACTTAACGCAACATATATAACCTTAAAAATTAATTTGGACTATGCTACAGTTTGTTTTCAGTTCTAACACTGACAATGGGGAACTATAAGTCCATAGAGGAATAAGCACAAATTTTTAAATCTGAATAAATCTGGGGCATCGTCTTGCCATATTTAAGAAATACAAAGTTTTCTATTACATTTATTATTTGACAAAGGGATTACAACTACAAACAAAATTGTTTTGTTTATGTGCAGACAGTGATGGGATGGGTCTAAGCTGCACCTACATGAAAAAATCTAAATTGGACTACTTGATATTCTGCAGACCTACATTCAGACCTTATTTGCTTCTGTATGCAAAAAAAAACAAACCATGGCTACCCGTTTCCTCAAATCATAATTGCTTTAGGCCGCTGTGGTATATATATACAGCATGCAAAAATACAAACCTTTAATGACCACAGAATTTAGAAGCGTGGCTTGATCCTATAGATATATTTAACTGTGAATATTGCAATCTCACAATAGCAGAAGAGAACAAGTTGAAACTTCTTTTAATGTAATTTTGGAGTTACTTGGAAGCTAACCAGGACAAGAAATGGTGAAATAACACCTCCTTAGATGTAATTACCCTAAGTTTTTAACTAGTTTAAACTCACATGTTAGAAATTCATTACTAATGGTACCCATGACAAACCTGCAGTACTGATTCTCCCAGCAAATAAAACAAACAAATCTTGAAATACTGTGTGCAAACTGAAGGCATTCATTCATTTTAGCACACATCCTCTTAAGTCAAATAAAGATTTTTTTTCATTTACAAACACACAGGGCAATTTTCAAAGTCCTTAATGCTCATTAATGCCGCCCATTGCAATATGAACGATAATCACGATAATCTTTGAGATGAAAACAAAACACTAGTCTGACTTTAACTAAAAATGTTCTGTATTTATTCCTAAAATAAATTCTGTATGCTTGCTATCACAACCATCTCCAACATCCCCATCTCAGCATATTATTTCATAGTAGTGCTACAGCAGAATGATGAGAATGTAGCTTAGAGTACCTGGAAATTATAGTAGTAATGCTGGCAGCACTTAAAGAATTTATATAAAATTTCCAAACCCAAGAATAGAAAAGATTAAGTAGCAGCTATATCTCCTTGCTGATACCAGCCTGTGTACCAAACAGAAAAACAAACAAACTCCTACAATCCAATTCATTCTCTTTTGATATCAGCCTATTCTGAAAGAGTAAGTAAAAGTTTAATATATTCGCATTATTACCTTTGGCTGAAAGGATTTTGTTATAATGAAACATCAGGTGATCTCTGATTAGGTACTGATTAGTTAGACTCTGTGAGGAATCAATGCAGAAAGCTACAAAATTAAAACATATTTGAACATTATAAAGACAGGTATAGGAATATCAAAATTTTAAACAGTTGTTATTAGGCAATTCAAACCCAAACTCAGTGTTTCCAATAGCAGATGGACATTTTTCTTTCTCAGCTAGTATTACATGATAAGGAGCTGTTGAAGATGGACTGTGTAAAAGTCAGTATGGAAATTCCCTGTTTCTCCATTCCACACTCTTCTGAAAAATGGATCTGAGATGACATTATGGCATATGAACATACACTAGCCCCTTTCAGCTATCAACTGTGAAATTATATGTTTCATTAGAAGGCTTTTTAAAATATCATCAACTTCATATACTCTTGGTAATTTAAGGGACTGTGTGTATGCGTGTGTATAGATATATATACACACACACACACGAGCTTTCTGTCTTTACTATTTGGCTATACACACACACAAATATACACATATATGTGTGTGTATCTTGTTATTTCTAGATAGTCAAACAGTTAAAACAGAAAACTCATTCCTCAGAAGTCATTTCAGTAAAGCATACAAAATGTACATATTATTATATTTCACCAATTGAGATAAATGCAGAGATTTTTATTATACAAATATTTGTATTCATAAAATGAATTCACACAAAAGCAACCAAGTCAACCTTCTTATGAAAGCATGTGTATTACTTACCATTACTTTTAGTACTTAAGTGTCCTTTAAATGGACTTGCTGGGCCACATCTGGGAATGACGACAGCTGGGTGATCACTCGCTTTAACAAAACATCAGAGAGTTAAAAAACAGAAAATATATTTTGGCTGACAAGGTAAAGCAGAGACTCATGAATCATCGTAGAGGATCTTTTTGGAAAAAAAACTAAATATATTCAAATGCTATACTACTACTAAAATATAACACTGCGGTTGCATAACTTAATCCGAATGCCGAATTATGACTGTAGCATGTCCATTGGGTCATGGAATTAAACAGCAGAACAGATCATCAGATCAGTTCAGGTTGAATTTGATATTGACCAATAAACTGTACATAGATTCAGCCTAAGCTTTGTATCTCACTTTTTTCAGGTTTTATTGATAGAATTTTAGCATTTTCAAAAATGACTAATGAGAAAAATACAGGCAACAATTGTGTTAAGTATTATACTAAAATTTGAGCTTAAGATTTTGAAAAAGCATCCTATCAATGAGAACAGTCTATTTCAAAAATCTACTATTAATATAAGAGGAATTTGGTTTGCTATTCAACAACTCTGCAGACAAACCTAAGTGCTGGCAAAACTTTTCTCAAAACAACAAGATGTTTAAAAAAAAAAAAAAAAAGACTAGAAATTAGTCTGATAATAGTGTTTGCTCCAGCCACACATGTTAAAAAGTCCTTTAATTCCTCTCTTTTGTGGCCTCTTACCTGCTGCATGCCCAGCACCTGCCTTTCCATGTTGCCTCCCTGTTACACAGTGATCGATACCATATGGTGGCTATGTATGGCATGGCTTGCTTAAAACTTAGGATCTTTAGAAAATAAACAAAATGAAAATAAGTAGCACACATGAGAGTTTTCAGAGCATTTTCTTGGGCACCCTGTTGCCAAACGACACTGAAGTGGACCAATAAACTCAATCTCTATTCTTACGAAGCACCACAAATTATCAAGGTGATCTTGAATTAGGAGGAGGATTTCACACTTAGAAAAGCCAGTCTTTATATAGCACAGGCTGATGAGGCTTAACTACAGTAGAGCCAGTATGTGCAGTAACAGTGATCTGGCTGCCCTTTGCTGCAAGAGCTCCACACCAGGGCTAGGAAAGGGATATGAAAAAAAAAAAAAAAAAAAAGCAACAACTATACGTATTTTTTTAATCTCATCCTACATTCTATATTTATTTTTATGCCATTTACTTTGTTCTTCAAAGCCAAAAAGCAACATTCCTACCCTAAATACCAATGTGAAATAGCTCATTTTAAATCCCCCCTCTAGTACAATTCTTCCTAATCCCCACTTGTGATTTAAACATAAACAGTACTAAATTCATTAATAATAATTAAAAAAATGCAAACACCCAATCAAAAACTGCTAGCTTTATAAAAACTTGGTGATTGCAAACCTAGCAATATTAGCTTGCTTTTTTTGTTTAAATATGTCTTTTCCTTTATCTATGGCATTTGCATGGCATTCATGATGTACCTAGCTATTCACACCGAGAAGGTAAACTTCCTCTAGTTGGACTGCTCACCTCCCTAAAGAACCTAAGTCTTTGGGAGGACCTTCAGGTAATCAACATCTTAGTAGCAAAAATAAAAAGTCCTCCTAACAACAACAAAAAAAACCCTTTAGAAGCCAGAAAAGTAGGAGACAGCAGGCACATGAAAACCAGATGGTTGCACTTAGCATTGCCCAAGATTGTCGCAAATTTCCATCATTTTCTGTATTTCAAATCTGAGTTATAATTCCACAAGATGACACATGTGATACAATTACATAAAGCTATACGACTATCTCTAATTTTTATGTGACAGAACAACAGAGGGATAAGTATGGGCATCTTAAAAACGCAGAGACATTCTTAGACCTGCAGCCGATTCTCTTTGGGTAAGCTAAATACCTTTAGTTTTATTTAGCAATGACCAAAGATGCTCAGAAACCTGTTCTTCTTACTCTCTTCAACTGGAATATGCCTGTTCAGAACTGCTGAAAAATCAGGTTATTTCGAAATGTTCATTTTCAGTTTATCACCAGCAGATGGCACATGGATAAACTGTATAAGACAAACTACTACATGTTATTCTTTTAGCTCCTTACTACAGATCAGATGTCAAAATAAAAGAAAAACCAACCCCCTCTCCTGCCAACATCCTGCATCATCATTTCTTAGCCAATAAATAAAAAAAGAGGGGGACGGGATGGGACAGAATTTCAAGATAAACAAGGAGAAATATTTTTCAGTCTCCTCTGAATGTTTTGTTTGTGGACAGAGCAGAGATTGCTCACAAGCCATACAGAAAATTCCAATTTGTGGAAATTCCAAGCTCACCAAAAAACTGATGTCACCAGTTGTGAAAAAGTCACGGTAGCTCACCAAAAAAGTGATGTAACCAGTTGTGAAAAAGTCACGGTCCTTGCACAGGGACGCAGCTCTCACGAGCCATGTCCAAGATCCCGTTCCTCTTGCCTGCCCTATCTGGTGCGTCCCTGAGGACGGATCTCACACGCTTTCCAATCCAACTCATTAACTGCAGGGCTCACAGACACCTTGGAAACCCTCCAAAGCAGCAACCTGGCCATTACAACTGTGAGCCACGTTCCATGAAAAGGAGACCCTTGAATAAAAGTTTTCCTGAACATTTGGATTCTGGGAAGCCCTTGAACTGCCCGTGTCACAGCACCTGAACATGATAAAATCTCACAGGCCATTAACAAATGATACTTTCCTGTAGTTTAAAACACTCTTTACCAGACAAAAGTTTACACTGAAGAATTTTTTTTTTTTTTTGAGTTAAACTCCGGATATTACATCCAAGCTATATATGCTATTATAACTCCAATTAAAGAACCAAACAGTCTTCAGTTTAAAGTATTTCCATAAACAGCGCCTGTGAAGGAGGCCTCCTACAGTGCTCCCATGGCGCTTCCTCCTGCCCTACCAGTCTCTGACGCTAAATAATAATAATGAAATTAGTCTGCAACCTTTCCATCAAGGAGGCAGTTTGAATCTCTCCGTCAGCTACCTGTTTTTACAAAACTTGGAGGAAATCTGTCACAGAAAAAGGCCCAAATACACTAATTTGGCTGAAATTTTGCTTAATGTTATTGAAAAGTGGCAGAGAATGCGTAACAACTAAACCTTTGATTTTTTAGGATCCCAGGCTGTTTTCATGTAGATGTTCCATCAAATTTACTACTACACAAAAATCAACTTACAGTATCCTCCCTAAATCTGAAAGGTATCACAGTTTTTTTATACTGTCACATATTTACAATAAAGATAGAAACTGCTGATGTCAGACGAGAACCTGGAGGATTTGGTATGTGGGGGATATGTTATATATTTTAGTGCTTGTTCAAAACGTTTGAAATTAGATATAACGTATTAACATTTGAATGGTCATCCTCATATTTGAGATTGGGTATCCCAGTTGAACAATAAGAGAGCTCAGCTGTTTCACAAGTGTAATCTCAGCTTGTCTGCTGACTTGAGCAGGTATTTGTTCCAGCTTGTTTCAGTTTGGTTTCACATTGTATATTCATAGTTATTTGCATCATAGCAAAAAAAGGAGACTTCAATGGAAGGGTTAGATAATGTGAACAGAATTCAAAAGGAGGAGGTGAGACTTTCAGCAAATTACAAAGTTACCAAATATTTACCCCCAAAAAATGACAATAACACAGTGTTACAATTAGAGCACCTGAATGGCTAAGGGAGTGAAGGTAGCTGTGCTGTGTTAGGGTTGCCCGCAAAGCAAGCGTAGTATATATTTTGCCTCCTTGATCTCTTATTTTCTTTTTCAAAACCCACTCATGCAAGTGATCTATTTTTTTTCTGTGAAGGTTGCCTACTGATTTTGATGAACTTGAGATAAGCTCTAAAAAGATAAATCACTTTGAAATAGTACCACTTATCTGGACTTGGCAGAACTCATCCCAGTGCTATAACACCTGCGGCAATAATAAAGTTTGCTGACTAAAATGTACATTGCCTACTTCATGTAATAAAATAATCTGTTTTAAAACCCTGCAGTCACAAATTTAAGGTCTACATAAATATATCTCTTCAAGACCACGTCATTTAGTTTAGGAAATTACTTTCTGAAATTTAAACCTGAGAAACTGGAAAGTATAATGGTTCTTCCCCATCTTGGAGACACCAGACATTTAAGTGCAGCATCAAACCATACCTTGCAACACAGAGTGGGCAGTGCAGACCTTCTACACCAACTATATAACACCAGGCTTCTCAGGTTGTCTCTTCTTCTAGAGATCATGCAAATGATATATTATTGAAAATACTAAATAGATCTTTTAGTTCCTTATTAATGCTTGTATTTCTTGCTTCTGTAGGCTTTCCCTGCAAGCGTGAGACACTATACATTAAGGAAGGGAAAAGTAAAAAAAAGCTTTGCTCAGTAATTCTCTCCAGATGTAACCTGAGGTGAGTAATAAGTATATTATTCCAAAGATATTCATAAAACATTTTGTCAAAATGATCTTTGCATTTTCCTTTAAAAATGTATGTGCTCTTTATGTCCTTTCTATTTCACAGTCTTAAAAAATCATGGAAATTGGGGGTTTGTATTTGTTACTTTGTTTCCTATTAGTAATAACACAGAATTTATAGAAATTATTTTTCTACAAGGCCCTTTCCGATTTACAACACAGATTTGTACTAGAAACAGAGTCTTTCATAACAATGTTCGCATAGTACAGACACTCAGTCCAGAACCAGAAGCCACAAAACCCCCCAGTAACTGCATAGGGAAATGCAACCCCTGCACTTTCATATAAGCAGCTACTAGATTTCAGACAGGATTCAAAGCACCAGGTGGACCTCATGACTGCCCAGCACTCTTAGAGGAACGTGTTCACCACTCGGCTAAAGCCACCAACCCTTATATACTGTTATATAAACCCTTACCTTACACACAGCCACCCCCTATTGTGCTTTGTGTCCTGGCACCAGGACTCTTGCATTCCCGGCCACACAGCAAACTCCTCTTAGTTGGAGATGCATGAAGTGCTCCTGCCTCCAAGGGACGAGACGTGCAGCACTTGCATGAGATGCCAGGGATTTCATCTCCCTAGGGCCGACAAGGACAGGGAGCCCAAATTTCACAACTCTGCAACTGCTCTAGCCCATCCACTAAATAAAACATGAAGTGCTTAATTTTTAAAGGTTTGATGCTCTCATCTCTATCACCACCAACTATTCTCTTTCTCTCCAATCTCCCAGTGACCTAAAACAAAAATAGCTAGTGACACATCCATAGCAAAGTGAATAATTCAGGCAACTACATGCAGAATGCTGTCCTGTGAGGGATGCCTACTAGTTCAGTAATGTCCTATTCAATGCTCTTCCTGCTGCGAATCCCTTATTTTAACTTCATACACACTTAAGAGCATGCTGCAGCACTAATGCTATACACGTGCTGCGGGGGGAACATAAGTGTTTTAAATCATCTCTGTGAAAGCCTAAGTGAGTTAGGAGTAGTAATAGAAACTCCAATGCCTCTGGAAAGGTCATATTTAAAGGAATGAAATTAGGACCTGATATATAGTACCTAAACTGGAAGAACCTAAGAGAATTTTTAAATAAAAGTATCAATTAACTCTTTATGCTACAGAAATCTCTGTGTGCATGAATACAACATGGATATAAACACTGCTGTCTGAAAATGCAATGCAATTTATGATCTCTCCATGAAAATACACACTATATTAAAATT